ACCTTTTCACTATAGCCATGACATGCATAAGAGAGATGGTGGTGAGCCCGTGACACCAGGGTCACAGTTGTTGGAGATTGTCTCTGGTCCCTTGCTTCAGTGCTTCTCAACATGTCATGTGCATATGATTTACCTGAGGCATCTTGTTAGCATGCACATCCTGATTTGGCAGGTCTAGGGTCTGAGATTCTGCATTTCTATCAAGCTCCAAGATGATGCTGATGCTGCAGGTCTGTGGATTGCACTTTTAACAGTTGGAAATAGAAGAGGTGATGAAAATAATTTGTGAGTCTTCTGCTGGCACAGGTCATGTTTGCCTTTTAGTAAGAATTCAATAGCTGTGTGTGATAAATGTGCAAATTGTCATGTGGTATCTATGGGGTGTTGGTTCCAGGACTATCCTTGGATATGGAAATCTATAGGTTCTCAGGTCCCTTATAAAAATGGCATAGTATTTACAATCTTCTGCACTTCTTCCTGTATACTTTAAATAATCTCTAGGTTACTTCTCATATCTAAGGCAGTGTAAATATGTAGTAGTGGTTATACTGTATTGTTTAAGGAATAATAAGAGGAAAGATAATCTTTTCATGTTCAGTATAGACACTGTTTTTTCCAAATATATTTGATCCATTTTCAGTTGAATCTATAGATGCAAAACCCATGGATACAGAGGCCTGACTGTATAAATTTAGCTCATTTGCTTCTAAATATTGTTGAGCCAGTTGTTGATTAAATTTTTTAATTTGGAATTTATTTTGGTGTTTTATTTGAAGTTCAAAGCCAACTTGATTTTTCCTCAAATAGCTAACCCATTTGTTTTAACATAATCCATTCATTAATCTCTTACTTTCCACAAATTAACGAAACCTCATTTAATCACAGAGTCTTCTTATATAGTCTAGAGACTGCTTTCGGACAATTCTGCATGGCAGGATGGTTGAAGCTTTATCCCATTTTGATGTCTGATGAAACCAGTTCTCCTTTGGTCCTCTTGTTCTTACTGTTATCACCTACTTTTGCAGATGAAATTTAATATCAGTTTTTTTAATAATAAAAATTATTGTGATTTTTGTATTAAAGTGTATTAAATATACACAGTAATTTGAAAAGGGTTAATATTTTTTATAATATTCTTCCTTCTTCAAGAATATAGTAATATGGGAGTTGAATTAAGCCTTGTGGGGGAAGGGTCTTCTGGAGAAGAAAAGGGAGCAGGGTAGAGACAGGTGTCTAGGCGAACTCAGTGAAAGTTAGAGTGGCACCACTCATTACCTCCAGTGTTCCCTGTGGGCCAGGTCCTGGACTGAATGCTCAATCATTTAATGAGTAATCAACACATCTCATCTCATTTCATCTCACACAACTCTACCAGGTATTTCCAACCCTGTTTCCAGATGAGGAAACTGTAGCTCAAAGGGATCAAGTGATTTTCCTAAGATTACACAGCTCTTAAATAGCAACAGAAGGGTTTGACCCCAGATCTTTCCATCTCGAAAGCATGTACTTTGAATGCCCCTACCTCTCTCAACTCTGTGTCATCGCCTCAGAGGTCTATGTCTCACCTCACATCTTCACTCTGTGTCCCAGCCTGTGGAGCCACTAATTTATGAATCATCCTCCTATCGATGTGGGAAAAGGGAACATGAAAAACCTTGTGCCAGGTCTCAGAGGTTCTGCTTAGAAGTGACTCATGTCACTTCGCTCACTTTCAATAGCCAGGAAAAAAAAAAAAATCACATGGCGAAAACCGACATCAGAGAGATGTGGAAGCACAAATTTTTATCTAGGAGAAAGAATACATTTACAAACAATAATAGATTCTATCATTCATCTCCTCTCCTCTGGTGATTAACATTTGCTTTCCTTCTCCCATATACACAATGTATTTATCCTTCCACAGGGGAGACCCCAAAGTCCTGTGCAGTCTTGAAACCAGCCTCAAAGTCCTCC